TTTAAAAGAAAAATTAATAATTTAAATATTATGTAAGTGTGTATAAAATGATATGAGTCTTTAATTGAGACAATAAAAGTATTTTGAATTGGGTCATCTTTATTTAAATAGTTGGATAACTTGGTAGGAAATTAAGGACACTTAAGAGCCCAACAAGTTGGCCCCAAAGGAAGGAATTAAGAGGAAGTAGGATTTAGTAATGACAGTTTTGTAATTATGAGTTTTTGTTTTAAAAGGGGAGTATAAATACTTCAAAACCTCAAGATTTTTCACTCTAAAATCATTATTGTCGAATTTCACAAAAATTCCAAAAGTTTTCTCTTTATTTTCTCTCTCCTTTTTCTCTTTCTTTTTCCTCTTTTTTTTCTCTCTTCTCCCATGCCTCTCTCTCTCTCCTCTTCCCCTCACCACCGGCAGCCATCGGCGCCACCACCAGCCACTGGCGACCACCACCCTCCTTCTCTCTTCTTTTTGGTGTGGTTCGGTATTATTATTTATAAAAAAAAAAAATAAAAAATAAAAAATAAAAAATACTCTCATTTTCTCTTCCTAATTTAATTCTATTGTTTTGTTATTTTTAAAGCATGATTTTGATTGTGTTTTTGGTATTAATTTTGGGTATTTGATGTTGTTAAATTATTCATATAATTTTCAGATTTTTATTCAATCAAAAACCCCAATTTACAAACCCTAGAAATTGGGAATTTACTGTTTATGATTAGGGTTTGATCCTAGGTTGTTGTTGTTATTTAATTAATGGTTTAAACATGTTTTTAATGACTTTAAAGCCCTCATATTAATACTGGAATTTATTAATGCACACTACTTTTTAATTATAGAGTTAGGGTTTGATTACCCATAAAAGGGAAAAAAGGTTTTAATGATTTAAATATGATTTCCTAGTCTATTAGTGATGTTTTATATTAACTAAGTATGCTGGAATTTTATTTAAGCCATAAAAGTTAAGTCTTTTTGAAAGGATTTGAAGTACCCATTAAATTGGGTTGATTAGTAAGGTTTCAAGTGTATTATAGTTGCTGGAAATTTGTGAGAATAGTAGATTAATTATAGTTATGTATTCTTATTTGTAGGAAGCTTCGAGCTAGGTGATTTCTAGAGAGTGTGGCCGAGTTTAGGCATTATTCAAGATACGTATGTGCACAAGATTATTTGTGTGTGCTTAGTATCATGCTAGGATTGTAAAATATGATTTAGGTGACGAATTAGTAGCACGTTTGGTTGATTATATGCTTGGAATTTATGTTGGTTGAGCATGAATTGTTATGCAAGCGTGTGAATATGTTATTTGAGGCATGATACAAGTTGAATATGTATGAATCATGGAAGTATGTTTTATTTTCAAGTATTAAGAAAGCATGTATTTAATAAGCAAGGCTTATATATGAATTAAAGAGCTAAGATTAGACTTATTGAGCATGATTCATGAATTTATTTCTCACCCATTTATTATTCGTGTTGAGTCAAGAAGTTAGTTTATTTATTTACTCGCTCATGTAAGTTGAGTTTGAGTCAAGGAAGTTTAGTAGTGCATTTTATGCACCAAGGTAGTAATCGTGCAATTTTGTGCACAAAACTAGGCAAGGAACTTTGATTAAACTAAATAGTATATGCTCACTAATTAATTTAAGAATGAATTGAAAGTTGCTATGTTTATTCTTGATTATTGGTTGGAGTCATCATATGTTAAATTGGTAAATCACGCTAAGTGTAAGAGGATACGCACCAAAACTCTTGGAACGTATATACCTTGAATATGAACATATGGGGGGGATTATGGGGTTTTATATATATTTAACCATAGCTTTTACAGGGGTATAGGACGCTGTACTTTCTTTTTATTATTAATGTGCTGGAATTCCGTCACTAGTGTGACATAGTAGGTGCCAATTGGGGTGGCTTTCTGATTGGAAGTTCAATATTTAAATGGCTATTTTCAAGAAAGGAAACCTGTTCGATGCGTAATCCAAAATTATTATTAATAATTAATATTGCTAGTTACGAGTCAAAGGTAAGTTGACTTGTGATTGTATGGCGAACATGTTTTTAATTATTTTATTTTGATACTAAGATATTCATGTTAGTGTGCTGATTCGTACTTTAGTGTTTGTGTTTGGCTTTCCTTTGGATTGGCCCTACTATGACCCATTTATATGGTGAGTAGAGGGTTGAATAAAGCGGAAGTAACAGGTACTTGAAACATGAAGAGCATGATGGGATAGAGTGCAGAGAGTTACTTGTTATGTTTCTTAATTTTTATATTTTTGAATTATTGGTTATTGTTTATGGACTAACAATATTGTGTTTATTTTTAATTGGTTTTTAAGAAGGGAAATGTTTGAATTGGTTCCAACTTGTGAATGTTTCATTCTACTTTTGTTTTGAGGGTGTGAACTCAAGTTTTATTATAAAAGTTGGTTTTTGTTTTTAGACTTCCGCAGTGTGACTTTGAAAAATTAGCATAAGCCGTTATCACGGTGGCGGTAATATTTTGGTTATTTTCTAAAAAGGGTTTTATTTAGAGTAAAATGAGTATTTTTAAAAGAAGGAAATTTCTAGGGTATTACGGTATGTAATACCCCTCATGATTGCTTTAAAGGGATTTAATATACTTCTCATACCAACAAGATGCATCTTCCTTTTAGAAAGCTAATATGCTAAGATACTTCTCATTTAAGCGTGCTTGGCTTGGAGTAGTCTTGGGATGGGTGATCTCCTGGGTGCGCTTGATTGAGGACGAAATGCGTCGAAAGGACTTATGTTGGTTTGTGAGGACAGTTGTTGGCCCTTGGTGCGCATTTCGTGATAATAGACCCCTCCCTAACTTGTTTGGGGACGGGGTGTTACAAAAGCAATGTGAAACATCTTTGTGTTGAACTAGAGAAATATATATACTATTGTTTTGGTCCGAATAAGCCTATTTGGGCCAGTACATTTAATGAACTCAATATCCCACAAAGGCCTCATGCCTAAAGTTCTCAAAAGGGATTTCAACAAGCCTAAGTGTCCAGTTAGTTGCCTAGCCCATTTGGGTTTCCACTTGCCACATGGTTCTGGTCAACTCATGATTAGGGCCCTCATCCTCTAAAGGTATAAGCACTCTAATTTTATATCTCATAAGTTATATGCAAACACTCTCACGTTAATTATTACACTTGCAAGCATTGATTTCTCTCCTTGAATTCTCAATCTCACGTACTAACTTAGGCAACATAAGGGTTTCCTCAAACACACCCCTGGGGCTAGTTAACGTACTCTCTTGTGCAGATGTTTTTTCGGCCCAATCACTTAAGGTCCAAATTAGTTTTCAATCAACGGATAAAGGTCAAAGTCCTGACCACATTGTTTCACCTGAAACAACTTTTATCTAATATCATCTCATACTAAACTGTGCATCCAATAAAAAGAGCAAGATACAACACATCGAAAATCAAGTATGCAATGAATATATCTTCTGAAAAAAAATACTATGTAAAGAAAGTAGAGAGAGGGTTGGCTAACCCATGTGATTATATGCTTCTACTTGGTGGGAGAGAACATGAGAGTTTGCAAGTTGCAACATTTAATTCTTATTTATTTATTCACTAAGTTAATTGACCGTAGATTAAATCATTAGATATTGCGGTGCACTTTCGAAAGTTCTTGTGCTAGGACATGAAGACTAAATTGAACTAAGATGTGTTTTTGACTTTTTGTGGGGATCCGAGAGTCGTGTTTTTTTTTTCCTTTGTAAAAGAAGTGTTAAAAGACACTATATATTATTAATTAAAGTCATACGACATCTACAATTGACAATCAATGATAATGAAAACAGATCTAACAATATCAAACAAGAACTGATCGGGAAAGGGTAAGAATCCAAATACATAAATGTAACAATTTGGCACATTCTCAATTCGTTGTCTCATACAACTTTTTGAGTGGATCTGCCGCCGCTTTATAATTTTGTGAAAAAGAAAATTCTTGTGGTGATTTTGTAACCCGAATCCGATCAATAATCAATCGTAGCCCCGTACAACTGGAAACCAAATTAAATGCAAGCAACACCTTGTCTTTCGGTGTTCGAAAAACTTTGTCTTTCGTAGGAGATTGAAAAAACCTTGCTTTCGAAGGAGATAAATCCTTTCTTCCGAAGGAGACATTATTATAATCTAAGAAACAAGAAAAAAAAACTTAAAGGAAACAAAGATTGGAGTTTTCCACCGATGAAATCTGATGAAAGCCCCTTTGAAATTAACAATGGAGGCTATAGTTTAGAAGAGAGAAGAGAGAAAAGAGGCTAGGGTTTTTTAGTTATGACAATATTTTTCACTAGTATAAGAGTCTCTCTCTTTTAAAGTTATATAATCTACTACCTCCGTTAATTGTTACGAGTATTTGCAAATTTGGATATCGTTTATGAGATATAAAAAATTCAAATTTGCAGATAGTTTTTAACGGAAGTAGTAATGGACATATAGACGAAGAGCTAATGAGCCCAATTCTTACCCAAAGCACGATCTATCAACTTTTTTTTTTGATGAGAGGATCATCATCATTATCATCACTATTATTATACATATAAGAAATTATAGAATGAAATGTACTCCGTATTAATTATCTCGATCTACACATATTTTGTCTTTCTTAAAGATATAAGTAGTACCATTTTAGAAAATGCATTAAAAGCTTATATGTGTCTCAAGGGTAGCAAATAGGATTACCCTATTATTAAAGAACTTAAGCTAAAAACTTTGATTTGGTAATAGTTAAATCCACTTGTACAAAAGTTTGTAAGCTACTACGTTAAACTAAATCAAATTCAGTGGTGATTTAAGGTCATTTTTATTTTTATGAATTAATGGGCAAGACCCTTAGAGAATGGGGATGAAGGATAAGAGAATCTCCACCCTCAAGTTGTTTGTAATGAGCACTGTTCTCACAAACTCTTTGTCGTGAGATACAATCCTTACCAGTATACCAAGTACTTAAGATGAAGAATATAAAGATGGAGAAATTTTAAAATTTATTGGCATTATTACCATTTTATGTATGAATGAACAATAAAAAATCAAACGTTCTTCCGAGTAACACAAACAAAAACAAATAATGATATTAGATACAATTTGATCAAACATCATAAAATGTACTCTTCTATATCCCTTAAAAAAGGAAACCAGTGGTAAGAATTCCAACCACTGCAACAAATCCCATTCCCATACTCTTCAAACCATAAACACCATTATCCTTGGCTTCAGCATCAGCAGAGTCAGTCGCAGGACCTTCTGCGGCTTTGCCATCCGACTTCGAGTCACTGGACTTCGGTTTTGTTGCCGAGCCTACTGGAGAGCTCTTAGGAGACTTTGCTTCGAACAACGCCGGGGGCAACAACACCTTATCAACCTGATAAACAGCCAAAGGAAACTTCTCCCTCAAGGCATTGTTCAACTGAGTTGTAACCTTTCCAGATGACACATTAACCTGTCTATTACCAATGGAGACAATCTCGAGAGTAAAAGCCTCGCCGTCATCGCCGGTGGCTTGGGTTCTGACAGGGTTACTGATGGTCTCAAAGTTGTCAAAGCTGTTAAACTTTGGGAGGACATGATTGAGAACAAGTTTTACTTGATCCTGATCTGAGAGATTGTTGATTGTACCTGGTTTAAGGTTTTGGAATGCGTTATCGGTGGGTGCGAAGACGGTCATGCCTTCAGTGGACGTGTTCACCTGGTTGGCAATCTGGTTGCCGACTTGGGTGGACGCTAGAAGGCGCATGAAGGTTGTGTATTGCCCTGCCTTCTCTAGGATGGCTGTGAGGTTAACAGGGCCAGCTGGCGCGGGGCCAGGGGCCGCTGGGGACTGAGCCATACAGTGGCCGCAGGCGAGTGTGGCCACTAGGGCAACTAGGGAGAGTTTAAGGAAGAAGGCCATTTTTTGAGAGTGTGTACAACAACTGTATGTAGAATGTTGTTGTTTGTTGAGTTTAGTGAATGAGAGGTGAGATTTATGGTACAAATTTGTGTAGAGGTGGAATGAGCTGGCTATGTTAAGTTATCCAACTTTTTAAAAAAAAAACTTAAAATTTTTATTAAATAAAATCAAGAGGGTTGGCCAAGATAGAATAAAAATCTTTGGACTACAATGTGCTAACAACTCGAATGTGTACTGTTCTTCACAGTGTTATACTCTCTTCATTTTATTTTCCTTTGTCTTATTTGCTTTCTAATACAGTTTTCAATGTATTTATTAGAATATATGTTTTTTTTTTTTTTTTTTTGGACAACCATATAAGTACTATTATATTCAACTAACTATTATACAAAATTATTTTTAAAATATTACAGAAAAATCATATTGAAACAAATCTAATAGGTTTCATACTTTTGTTATAGATTTATCATTGTTAAAGTTTTTCTCTCTTCGAAGGTTAGGGGCAAAGGCCTTGTTTGGGACAAAATTAGCTAAATGGGGTTAGTGTTGCTAGTTTAGCTAGCGAAATAAAGCTAGTTAAGTAAAAGTGTTAATTAAATATAAAGTAGTTAATAATTGTTATAAAGTTTCATATGTGGTTAACCACACCGTGTGGCCTGGGTTACTTAGTCAGCGAGATACTCGATCAGGGTTACTCGGTCGGTCAAAGGTTACCTGGTTACTCGTGTGTCAGCTAGCCGTATGATGTGGCTAGCCACATAGAAAACGCGCTGATAATTGTTAGCTACTTCATTTTATGTAATAACCGAAAAGCTAATTATTTTATAAGCTAGATTAAAAAGAACCTTCTATCATATGTTTTTCAAAATTTCAATAAGCTACTTTTCAAGTTTTCTAATAAGGTTTTTTTTTTCATAATAATATAGTCAAATCTCTATTAGACCTTATTAAAATGAAAAAACACAAAGTAATGGAGGAAGTAGTCACTCATATTTTGACTATACTTCGTAATTGATCGATTTAGGATCCGTTGTAACATATACGATTAGTAGGTGGTAGGTCATAGGGACTGAACTAATTTAAATACTTATGAAACTAATAAATATTTGTTAGCATGTGTATGTTACAGAGGCTATGATAATGGTGGAAATAAAATAATGTTGATGGGTAAAGTTGACAATTAAGTTTGGGTGTCAGAAATAATATAAACTTCGTATATTTGTGATAGATAAGGACAGGAACAACTAGGCAAATATAAGAAGACGAAGCAATATAATACGAAGAATGAACAAGTTGGGTGCTACTTGGGGCCGGAGGAGAACGTGGTTGCCAAGTTAAATCCTTGCTGTGTTTTTTTGGCAGGAAAAACAAACATGCGTGTAGATAATGTTTCTTAAAATCCATATAATCATCGTTTTCATCTTATTACTTGGTACTTTCTCATTCCCCTAATATTGCAACACAAGGGAGGATCATGGAATGGACTTGGTGGGAACCTCACCTTCCCTAAGAGTGACCTGGCTTCGATCCTCACCCCACCTGTGATAGGAGGGGCATCTACCCCCCATATCTTACCGTGTTAAAAAAAAATATATATTGCAATATGGGGCGGGGATGAATACAGATTTTAAGGAGAGAGATAGAGAGGAATAAAGATAGAAATCCATATGAATGATATGATGAAGAGAGACACCAATCATGATTGGTGGAGTTGGTGGGAACCTCACTTTGTGACTTGGAGGATACAAGTTCAAGCCCCACCAACTACAAATAATACTTGGGAGTAGGGGGATTCCCTTACCTCCCCCTTCTACTCTCAAGCGATGATGAAGAGAGAGAAAGAGAAAAAACATATCCATGTCTCGGTTTACTTGGATTAATTTTAGAGATCCACAGGACCTACTTAGAAAAACATTAGATTTGGCCGCATAGTTATCAGAATTGGAATTCTATTGGTGAGTGGAGTAGAATCAAATCATTAAAATCAAACCGTAGAATTGAATGATTCTACAAAATTGAAAAATTGAGCTTCAAAATGTAACTAAATGACTAAATTCATACTTCCTCCATTCTTTTTTACTTGACCCGCTTTGACTTTTACACTATTCATCACCCCTCCTTTGACCGTCTTTCGTAAATAATAGGTAAGGAAAAACATATTCATGTGGGATCTTTTTGAATTCGTCTCAATAAGTACTATCATAATATATAACTTCTATAATTTTTACTTATGGAGAATTAAAATTATTGATCGTTAAATTTTGCATTGGCAAGCGTGATAATAGAAACAGGTCAAGTAAAAAAGAACAGAGGAAGTAATTGTTAAGCAATGAGAAGATAATAATATATATTGTTGATAATATAATATTGACAATACAAACATAAATTATAAGTATTTTCATACACCCATAGCTCAAACAATAAAGTCATAATATTGGTACACGATCTTAATCATGAGAGTACAAGACCATTGTTTTTAGATTATGACAATATATATATATATATATTATTGTCAATTGCTAAAATTGTTTCCCCTTATGAAAAATACAATGATACGGAGTAATAGAATTCTAAGTGTCAAGTTAGTTCATATCAAATAGATAACTAAAGAATTGAATGACAACTACGTGCAACAAGCTTATGTTATAAAAGTGTTTCTTATATGTCCAAATTTGAGTGCATAAGACTCATGAATATATTCTTGTGTCCAGGCCACAAAATTGAATAAGTTGGATAGAAATTCAAAAGTTCTTGAAGTGATGTTTCATTAGCTTAATTATGATTTACATTGAATAATATATAAGTAATTGACTAAACTCAGGCTCAACTATGACACCCTTACATAAAATATATAAACGACATGGGAATGGGATAAATTTTATTAGAAATTATACCTCAAGAGCTTTCCAACAATATATTATAAGCCCAATTGCGACTTCGCAATCAAAAGTTATGGGTTTCAGAAAATCAGACTTTTTACAGGATTAGAATCCATGTAGAATCGTTGAATCGGTCTGATTCCACCAATTCTACCTGTTTAGGGTAAAAACACCCTGTCCACGTGGCACTATAGCATGCTGATACGTGTCAGCCTCAGAGAGGCCCTAGGGGATCCAATCCTCTACTGACACGTGGCACTTTAACCCTGAAAGGGGAACTGATCCCCTTCCACTATAAATAAAGGAAAATCCTCATTTATTACATATTCATAATATACACACAAAACCCGAGCAATATTAATTGCAGAATTCTCTTGGAATCCGAGAGAAAAACCTTTACATTCCGCACTTTTATATATCCGGAAACGTTCTAACTTAATCGTCGGAGGCGGAACTCCACCCAATCGGAGTTTCCGTGGTTTTGCAGGTACAGACGATCGACGCGCATTCTTGGAATTGTTACTCTCTCGAGAGACACCAAAAACCCCGAAACATTTGACGCCGTTTATGGGGAGAGTACTTTCTTGATGGCATTAGAATTTGTACCGCCTGTTGAGGGCAAACGGCCTATGGCCGAAACTAAGGTCCACACGGACCAAGATAGTGGTGACGACTTTGAGGTCGACACCTACGTGGCCCCAGACGGGTCATTCAGAATGAGACGCACCCAGTTTCAAAGAAACAAGGGAACGGGGCGAAGACAAAGCTGATCCTAGCAGCCCAACCGTCAAGCCGGCTGGGCGACCCCAAGCGGTAGAAGGTGCTGCCCCCGTAACTAGAGACGAACTCATGAAATTCGTGACGAGTTTCAAAGGGGACATCAAGGACCTGATAAACAAGTCAATTGACACCAACAAGGGTCAGTCGGCCAAGAAACCTTCTCCCTCTGGGAAGAAGCATGTCAAAGATCGTGTGCCTACTCCTCACCCTAAACCAAAAGGGGCGGACGGGCTCATGATCGACCTATCTAAACTTCGTTTCCCTAATCAGGGCAAAGGAAGGCTATCCGACAAGTTCAGCCGGATGGGTCAAAAAGGACTTACTTAGATGCCCAGATGTTCATCCAGGAGAAGAGAAGTCAACAATTGTCTGAGTCAGCTTCAACGTCGACTTACCCAGACAGTTTTCGAAACACTTCAATGAAGCATTCGAAAACAAACCGAGAGAGTCAGTCATGCAGCATGTCCGCACATACTGGCCCTCGGATTATCCAGCCGGCTCCGTATGTGCCCCAGCAGCCATACATGCCGTATGGATCACCATACATGCAGCCGACCCTCTTTGGGGGTCAGGCGGCACAAAATGTCCAGCCCATGGACTGGCAGCTCCGGCTGCTAAACCTTGGAGAACAGCCGTCGGCGTTCTCTAGGGAGATAACCGAGGCGGCTCAGCCGGCCAAGGTTAAGAACGTGTTGGTTGTTGCCTATGATGGTACCACCAACCCGGAAGACCACCTAATGGCTTACACCAACCTCATGTACTTACAGGGGTTAGATGATGCCGCCTGGTGCTGATGCTTCCCGGCAACATTGAAGGGCATAGCCCAACAATAGATTTGCAATCTGCCAGCCGGATGCATCAACAACTTCAAGACGCTTGCATACCTGTTTGCATCCAACTTCTCCATGAGCATCCCTGCCAAAAAGACAAGTCTCGACTTGGGGGCTATTCAGCAGGGAGATAGAGAAGGGCTAAGGTCCTACGTCAGGCGGTTCAATCTGATGAGAATTCAGATTCAAGGGTTGTCTGACGAAGTTGCCTACACAGACTTCTTCAAGGGTCTGAAGGATGGGTCGACTTTTAAGTTCGACTTGGTTAGAAAGAGGGTTGCTACCCTCCAAGAGGCATTGATGGAAGTTGAAGCCTACATACAGGCGACGCAGCTCTGTACCATCAAGCATCCGTCGGACCCTAAAAAGTCTGACAAAAAGGAGAGTCGGCTGCTCAACCGGCTAAAAAAGAAGAGAGCAAGAAAAGAAAAGACGTCTGGGTGGCGGACCATTCTGGTCAGCCGTCCCAGAAGAAAAAGAGAGAGTTGAAGCCATACGTTCCCAAGTACGAGTTCAACAAGGACTGCTCCTCCATCCTCATGGAGATCAAAGACCGGTTGACCATTAAAAAACCGGCAGCAATGAAGAGTCCCATCAAAAGTCGGGACAAGAGCAAGTACTG